ATGTGTGTTACGTTTCGTGAAAATTGGTTCAGATTTAGATATAGATCCCATATATATTTTCGTCCGATTTTATGTAAATGGTGCGCGGAAGTTCCTACATATCTTTCGATTTGCACTAAATTTGGCACAGCTTACTTAATTAAGTCTAAGACGATGTGTGTTAAGTTTCCTGAAAATCGGTTCAGGTTTAGATATAGCTCCCATATATAGTTTCGTCCGATTTGAGGTAAATGGTGCACCAAAGCTACTATAAATTTTCCGATTGGCACGAAATTTGGCAAAACATTCTGAATTAAGTCTAGACTGATGTGTATTAAGTTGTGTATTAAATTTTAAAGATGATTTGTCTGTTCTATCTACAGGATATTGTATATATTTGCGCCTTTTGTATGTGACCATAGTGGTGAAGGGTATCACATAGTAGGCCACGATTTGTAATTTTGTGTAATTTGGCCCCAAATTCACTTCCATATTTACGTAATCATAAATCAAATAAAAGGTATACATAACGTATACGTGTTGTCATCTGGTATGCGCACCGAATTATACTTATTACACCCTACACAACTATGTTGTCAGGGTATTATAGCTTTGTGCAGCCCCAAGAGTTTGTAACGCAGCGAAATATTGATCCTAGACCCACTTTTAAGTATACCGATCGTCATATCTCGACTAGCTGAGTCGATATAGACATGTGTGTCCGTCCGTCGGTCCATCTGTCCATTATAATTTGTAAACACGATACAGGCCACAGTTATGGACCAATCTTCACGAAATTTTGCATGTAGGATGGGTTCTGGCCAATGAAGACCCCTATTGTTTTTGGTAAAGATATGTTAATATTTAGATGATGAAATGGACCAAATACTTAATTTTTTTCCGTTTTTCTGGTCGCTCCAGATACCGCAATTATGGCCCGAACATCGCGAAAGGACGAACCCTATTGAAATCTGGAAAAATCGGTTAGGATTTAGATATAGCTCCCATATATATTTTCGTCCGATTTAAGGTAAATGTGGCACCAAAGCCCCGATATATCTTTCGATTTCACGAACTTTTGCACAGAATATTAAACTAGGTCCAAAATGATGTGTCCCAAGTTTCGAGAAAATCGGTTCAGATTTAGATATAGCTCCCATATATAGGTTTGTCCGATTTAAGGTAAATGGTGCACCAAAGTCCCTAAATATCTTTCGATTTGCACGAAATTTGGCACAGCGTAATGAATTAGGTCTAGAATGATGTGTGTAAAGTTTCTTGAAAATCGGTTCAGATATATATATATATATATATAGCTTCCATATATAGTTTCGTCCGATTTAAGGTAAATGTTGTACCAAAGTCCCTTAATATTTTTTTGGTTTGCACGAAATTTGGCACAGCGTAATGAATTAGGTATAGAATGATGTGTATAAAGTTTCTTGAAAATCTGTTTAGATTTAGATATAGCTCCCATATATAGTTTCGTCCGATTTAAGGTAAATGGTCCACCAAAGTCCCTATATATCTTTCGATTTGCACGAAATTTGGCACAGCGTAATGAATTAGGTCTAGAATGATGTGTGTTACGTTTCGTGAAAATTGGTTCAGATTTAGATATAGATCCCATATATATTTTCGTCCGATTTTATGTAAATGGTGCGCGGAAGTTCCTACATATCTTTCGATTTGCACTAAATTTGGCACAGCTTACTTAATTAAGTCTAAGACGATGTGTGTTAAGTTTCCTGAAAATCGGTTCAGGTTTAGATATAGCTCCCATATATAGTTTCGTCCGATTTGAGGTAAATGGTGCACCAAAGCTACTATAAATTTTCCGATTGGCACGAAATTTGGCAAAACATTCTGAATTAAGTCTAGACTGATGTGTATTAAGTTGTGTATTAAATTTTAAAGATGATTTGTCTGTTCTATCTACAGGATATTGTATATATTTGCGCCTTTTGTATGTGACCATAGTGGTGAAGGGTATCACATAGTAGGCCACGATTTGTAATTTTGTGTAATTTGGCCCCAAATTCACTTCCATATTTACGTAATCATAAATCAAATAAAAGGTATACATAACGTATACGTGTTGTCATCTGGTATGCGCACCGAATTATACTTATTACACCCTACACAACTATGTTGTCAGGGTATTATAGCTTTGTGCAGCCCCAAGAGTTTGTAACGCAGCGAAATATTGATCCTAGACCCACTTTTAAGTATACCGATCGTCATATCTCGACTAGCTGAGTCGATATAGACATGTGTGTCCGTCCGTCGGTCCATCTGTCCATTATAATTTGTAAACACGATACAGGCCACAGTTATGGACCAATCTTCACGAAATTTTGCATGTAGGATGGGTTCTGGCCAATGAAGACCCCTATTGTTTTTGGTAAAGATATGTTAATATTTAGATGATGAAATGGACCAAATACTTAATTTTTTTCCGTTTTTCTGGTCGCTCCAGATACCGCAATTATGGCCCGAACATCGCGAAATTTTACATGGAGAGGGGGATCGGGCCAAAGAATAAGCATGCCTGTTTTGATAAGGATTGGTCAATATTTAGCGGGTCAAAAGAACCCTGACTTTTGGGTGAAAAATGACAAAATTTGTATTCTATAGCGTATATATTTGTCCCTGAAGGACATAGACCCGAGAAGTTGATATTATATCCAAGAGGAGTGGTTGACCTTAAATTAATACCAATTATATTGTGGTATGTGATCGGATGTGGGAGTTACACCCAAATATTTACAGGTATCTCCTTATTCGTATATTATTTAGTAACCCGTTACCATACTGGAGGGCGGAAATATAGCGCTGATAGCTTTGAAATGTTCCATTAGGTTCCAGTTATGGTCAAGGACAACGCCTATAATTTTCGGTGATGATCAGATAATAATTTTGGTGTTATTTTCGAGTCGATATATACACCACAAATGAAAGCCGAACATGACAACACAACCCACGGTGAAGGGAATGTGGACAATAGCTGTACTGAATACTCGAAATATTCGAAAATATGTCAGTGTGAGGAAAAGGTGATGTTTACCTCTAATTGGGCAAGAGGGTGAAAATATCACGAAATATTGCCCAGGCTCGGAAAAAATTTGAGTTCTGTGGTAGTTGTGTAGGGTATCGTATGGTCGGCCCCGTCCGACTATACTGCTCCGCTCACTGGTTTTTAAATGTCATAGATGAAGATTTCTATATATATGTTCCTACTTCTCAAATAGTAGTTTGAAAGAATATTGGTTTTAAATATTTGTGATTGTTTTTTTTTATCACTCAATATAATTATTATTTCTCTGTGTAATTTGGCCCTAAATTCACTTCCATATTTACGAAATCATAAATCTTAAGGTATACATAACGTATACGTGTTGTCATCTGGTATACGCCACGAAGTTATTTTTTTTTAATAAATATGTCGTTCCTACTTCCCATTTAGTAGTTTATTACATTACTTTAAAATATTTGTGATTCATGTCTCTGTGTAATCTGTATCTCTCTATACCTGTTTTAGTTTCTTTTCGTGTGTTTCTTTTCCATTGCTATATTTCCTCTTGTCATTTCCGAAGGTATAGCTAGCGTATACGTGTTGTCAGCAGCCATACGCCACCGGTGATATTAATTGCGATAATGTAGTTTATTGTATATCATTTGTAGAAGGATTGATATGTCTATAACGTTCAAAAATATAAAGTAAAATAGATTTTTTGCTTTTATACATGAAGAAGTCATAACGTATTTTCTTACTTCCCAAATAGTAGCTTAGAAGGATATTCAGTTTATAACATTTGTGATTAGTTTTCACTTATCTGTGTAATTTGTATCTCTCTGTTTGTAATCTTACCCTATAAGCCCCAGACTCCTATATTTTTTTGGCTTGTATTTCTTTTTTCCTTTTCCATACATAACATCTTCAATCTGACGGCATACCTAACGTATACGTGTTGTCAATATGTATACGCCATCGATGATATTTATTGTGATAATGCATTTTTTTTACCCCATGTGGGAAGGTTTTGAAGTGACAATTATATTTAAAAGCATAACAATTTTTTGTGATAACACAACCACAGATCAAAATCAACGACACTTACATATATTCGTAATTTGTAACACATACAAAAAAAAAAAAAAAACGCCAAAACCGCATTTATAAAGCATTTCATGTTTTTATTCGCTTTTCGCCACAGAGCTCATCAAAGAAACAATGCTGTTAATTTATTTATAAACATAAACAAACTATTTAAAAAAAAACATAATAAAATATTTAACTAACAAACAAAGAAAGTGCATAAAATAATTGGATTATAGCAAAGAAATAAAAAACAACAACCTTTAAAAGAAAACAAAAACAGTACTAAAAAATCCCCTCCTTAAAAAATACATTCCTAAAAACAAATTGCAAAAAAGTTGCGCCTAAATTTTCATTTTGATTTTTTGATTTGTCAAAAACAATATTTGTTTGCTAAGAAAACCTTGCAACAACAACAATAACAACAAGACATACAACAACAATATTAATATGACACACAATCGTGAAAATTTACGTTTAAGTTTGCACGATTTGCAACAGACCACCACAGCACCCATTAACTCATCCTCCAGTTCATCCAGTGTCTCACAATCCATGTCAGTGATAGCTAATCAGGCCATAACCACTGTGGCCAATAAATTTACAAAGGGCGGTGGTGCAGCAGCAGCGGCAGCATATCAAAATGAAAAATGTGAACGTTTAAAGAAAATGACATCGATAACATGTTCCGATTCAGAAGATGATTCCGAACGTCGAATACAAATGGATGGCAATGGCAAATGGCAAATAGGGGGCTATGAAGGTGTAAGTTACTTGGCGGGAAGGGGGTTGAAAAGGGAATGGGGTTTATCACTTTATTGTTTCATATTTTGATGTTTGGGTTTTCAGGGGAATTTCTCTTGCTTTCTTCTTGATTGTGGTAATAATTGAAACATCTTCCTCTTCTCTCTCTCTCTTACAGGATACCCGAACACACATTGTCCATGAAATCTTTCGCAATGAACAATCCTATGTTGAATCCCTGCAAACCATGGTTAATCGTTACTTGAAGGCTTTGAAATCGCCGGAACATGCCGGCGTCATTGAGGCCCGCACTGTGGATGAAATTTTCTTTATGGTCCCAGACATTTTGGAAATCCATGAGAAATTCTTGGCTGAATTGCGTAATCGTTTGGATAATTGGGATGCCCAGCAAAAAGTTGGAGATGCTTTTATGGAAACGGTAAGGAGTTTATGACCTATTTTTGAGAAATTAAAATTGTAAAATATTTTTTGTTTTTAGTTTTCCAAATTGGAAGTTCTCGAGGTCTACACCTCGTTTGTGAATAACTGTAGTCGTGCCAAAAATGCCATACGTACCACAAAACATCAACGACCTGCATTTGCCAAATTCCTGGAGACAACGGCCCGTGAACATAAGGGCAAGCTGACATTGGACTATTTGCTGATCAAACCTGTTCAGAAGTTTCCAAAGTAAGTAGACTTTTTTAAAGGGTCTTCACAAAGTGTGGATTTTTAAAAAGGACCTCTACAAGGCGTAGATTTTTTAAAGAATATTTTCCAAGGACCTCTATAAGGCGCAGGTTTTTGAAAGAATATTTTCCAAGGACCTGTACAAGGTTCAAGGTCCTCTATTAGGCGTAGATTTTTTAAAGAATATTTTTTCAAGGATCTCTACAAGGCGTAGATTTTTTTAAGAATATTTTTTCAAGGACCTCTATTAGGTGTAGGTTTTTTAAGAATATTTTTTCAAGGACCTCTATTAGGTGTAGATTATTTAAAGAATATTTTTTCAAGGACCTCTATTAGGCGTATATTTTTTAAAGAATAGTGTTTCCAGGACCTCTACAAGGCGTAGATTTTTTAAAGAATATTTTTTCAAGGACCTCTATTAGGCGTAGATTTTTTGAAGAATACTTTTTTAATGATCTGCAAGGCGTAGATTTTTTAAAGAATATTTTTTTAATGATCTGCAAGGCGTAGATTTTTTAAAGAATATTTTTTTAATGATCTGCCAGGCGTAGATTTTTTAAAGAATACTTTTTTTAATGATCTGCAAGGCGTAGATTTTTTAAAGAATATTTTTTTAATGATCTGCAAGGCGTAGATTTTTTAAAGAATATTTTTTTAATGATCTGCAAGGCGTAGATTTTTTAAAGAATTTTTTTAATGATCTGCAAGGCGTAGATTTTTTAAAGAATATTTTTTTAATGATCTGCAAGGCGTAGATTTTTTAAAGAATATTTTTTTAATGATCTGCAAGGCGTAGATTTTTTAAAGAATATTTTTTTAATGATCTGCAAGGCGTAGATTTTTTAAAGAATATTTTTTTAATGATCTGCAAGGCGTAGATTTTTTAAAGAATATTTTTCAAAGACCTCTATAAGGCGTAGATTTTTTAAAGAATATTTTTCAAAGACCTCTATAAGGCGTAGATTTTTTAAAGAATATTTTTCAAAGACCTCTAAAAGGCGTAGATTTTTTAAAGAATATTTTTCAAAGACCTCTATAAGGCGTAGATTTTTTAAAGAATGTTTTTTTTTTCAAAGACCTCTATAAGGCGTAGATTTTTTAAAGAATGTTTTTTTTTTCAAAAACCTTTACAAGGCCTCAAGGAGCATCCGAAGCGTGGATTTTTTTAAGAATGTTTATTCAAGAACCTCAAGGCCTCAAGGAGCATCCGAAGCGGGATTTTTTTTAAGAATGTTTATTCAAGAACCTCAAGGCCTCAAGGAGCATCCGAAGCGGGATTTTTTTTAAGAATGTTTTTTCAAGAACCTTTACAAGGCCTCAAGGAGCATCCGAAGCGTGGATTTTTAAAGAATGTTTTTTTCAAGGAGTATCCGAAGCGTTAATTTGTTTTTTAAGAATACGATTCAAGGACCTCTACAAGGCCTCAATGAGCATCCGAAGCGTGAATTTTTTAAAGAACATTTTTAATTTTTTCCTTTTTTTAAGAAAAATGTTTTTAAAGATCTCTACAAAGCCTCAATGAGCATCCTAAGCGTGGATTTTTTAAGAACATTTTTTCATGGATCTCTATAAGGCCTCAAGCAGCATTGGAAGCATTTATTTTTTAAGAATATTTTTCAAAGACCTCTACAAAGCCTCAAGGAGCATCGGAAGCGTGGATTTTTTAAGAATATTTTTTCAAGGTGTATCCGAAGTGTCGATTTTTTAGCAATATTTTTTCAAGGAGCATCCGAAGCTTGGATTTTGTAAATAAATATTTTTCATGATCCTGAAAAGACCTGCACTTTTTAGAGAATATTTTTTCAAGGTCTTTAAATGACCTGCAATTCCTAAATAATATTTTTCCGTGATTCTAAAAGAACCTGCAATTTTTTAAGAAAATCTCTTCAAGGTCCTCAAAAAGCCTACACTTTTTAATGAATATTTTACCTCTACAAGGCGTTGAGTTATCTCCAAAGAATGGATTACTTTTTAAGGTCCATCCGAAACGTGGATTCTTTTAAGGAATATATTTGTAAGGATGGTCACTTTGAAAGAAAATTTGTGGCAGGACATTTGGGTTATAGACGTGACAGAACATTCAGGTTAATAGACGTGAACTAAAAAAATGGCCGATATTCAGGCTGATAGACGTACATTTTTTTTGGAAGGATGTTCACGTCTTTAATCGTGTTTTTAATAAATATTAGCAGGATATTCAGTTGTATAAGCGTGGATTTAAAAAATGACAGGACATTCAGGCCTTTAATTGTGGATTTTGAATGAAAAGTTTTTACAAGACCTTTAAATTTATAAAAGTGGAATTTAAGAAAGAATGTAATTTTTTAAGAAAAATTTATAAAAGTAAAGTGTCTATGATCTTATATTTTTAAGAAATTTTTTTCCAGAACGTGTAGGGCAACAAACGTGCAAATTTAAAGATTATTTTTGTCAGAACAATCAATCCTACAAACGTGGATATTATTGGCAGAACCGTGGTCTATAGACCAGGACATTAACCCTATCTATTATCCATATTTACAATTTAATTTCTCTCCCTCCCTTTCTTCCAGCTACGAACTACTCTTCCAAAGACTTATCAAACACACCGATCACGATCATCCCGATCAAAAACATCTGCAGGATGTTCTCAAGCTTGTACACGATATTCTGGTGCATATCAATTGCAAAGAACGTGAAATTCTCGAAAATGGTCAGCGAGAGGCAACACTGCGTGAATTGGAGGGTGTTATTGAAGGCATTACCGATCTCATAGCACCAGATCGACAATTTTTACTTTTCGATTTGGTAACAATGCCCTCGGGTCAAGGAGCACGAAAAGAGCGCGGATTCTTTTTGTTCAACGATTTGCTGGTATTGACGAGTATTAAAAAACGAAGTGGTACCATACGAAAACCGAATACGTAAGTGTGAAGAAATAGAATAGGGAAGAAAAAAACAGGTATTAAACATTTTTTTAATTTATTTTCCATATAGAACAACATGTCCGGGTACAGTGGCCTCCACGCTGGATACAAATAAATATAAATTTTTAACCAAGATCTCGTTGGATTGTTTGGAAATTGTTAAGAGTAAGTAAATCAATGTGAAAATATACCCAAAGAGACTAAAGAATTCAACTTTGAATGATAGTATACAAAGGGCGTATAAGTGATGTCACCACGTATACGCACTGTGGTTCAATTATGTGGGAATTTCGATGATTTCACTATTAACTGTTTATGAACCATCGTTTTTATATTTCGTGTGGCCTTTTAGTAATATTTTGCTTTTTTATACTTCCAGCAAAAGATGAAAACATCAAACGCATAATGACTGAAATTGAAAATCTCGCAGAAGACTGCAATAAATTACAACAGATCAGTGAAATTACAGCTTCTCTCAAAATGCCGCATCAGTATTTGGAAGATGTCATCCGTGAGCTGTTACGTGATGCCCAGCGACAATTGTCGGAGCGACAGACAAATGATGCTCAATTGAATATGCTCGAATTAGCGGTTAATTCACCGTGAGTAGCATAACTCAATAACATTTTCAGAACTTTCAGTAATTTGTTTTTGATTTTCGTTTCAGAAATGGTACTCAAAAGCTATCCATAGTCTTTAGTAAGTCTGAAAAGAGAACACAATGGGAGGAGACATTCAATGAAGCCAAACAGAAATTAGGTAAGTGAGAAATGTTATGAAGATCATTAACAATTTTATGACGTATGCGTGTTGGCATAACGTATACGTCTATATGAATCTGCGAAGTTAGCAAGTTCATTGGAGAGAACGCAATGCCGAAGTCATGTATCATCTTTCATCGGAAGTTAAGTTTTGCCGATTCACCTCGGGAACTTTAATCATTACACGCAGTGGCGTATACGTATTGTCGTAACGTATACGCTACCCCTTGTAATAAACTGAAAAATTCCTTAATTGTCATTAGGTTGCAGTACTTTGAAGAAAGGGAAATCTGAAGGCCTTACAATATTATTTTGCAAAGCAACATACTTCAAAGAAGAGTATTTTGTACATATACCACTTGACATAACTTATATGGCTATGACAACCTGTATTATGATTCAGTTGGCATAAGAGGACAGTAATGAATAGTAAGGGACCTTTTAAATACGGAATTTTCGGCAGAAACAATATTTTTTCAAAGTGAATTACCTCAGAGAACTTTTAATATAGAGAAGAGGTGACGTATAAATACTGACATTACTTAAACGCCTATGTGGACCTGAAAACTTAATAAATTTTAAATTATGAATATAAATATAGAGTGGGAGACTTCAGAGATACTTATAATGGAGTAAGAGATTTAAGACTTGCTCGGCAATTAAGTCTCAGAGAACTTTAAAAGATCTCATATGATTCTGGTATTGACTAGATGATCAAAATATTAAAAAGTTGACCTCTGTTTTGGAGTATTAAGCCTCAAAAACTTAAATTATTGGTCAGATGCCTTTTTTTGTTGTTGCTTAAAACTTCGTATAGCTTTAAAGTGAAAGTAGCCTAACTGGTTTCTGGATTGTCTTTGATATAGTTGTGGCGTATCAGTGCTGGCACAACGCATACGCCTATATGAACTACGAAATTAATCATGCCTCATAAGTTATTGAGTAAAAGACCTCAGTGACATATTCAATGATGTATGTGATCCCTTCTTTAGAGTATGGGGTCTCAGTGGTCAATCCAATATAGCATCTGACCTCAGAGACCATAAATAAGGAACAGTTGGCATGTAATATACTCATAGTTTCTTGAAATGAAGTAAATGACCTCAAGGGTCTATTAGATAACTTTTAACCGAAGGAATCTGGCCTCAGTGGCCACTGCTCAAATATAATTGATCCCAGATGCCAACTAATTGTCCTCAGAAATGAAAATAGAGGAAGAATTAGAAATCTGATATGACGCAGATTATCTCAGTCTTGTTTGTAATGGAACAACTGAACACGGAGAATATAGCCCAATATTAAGTGGTTAGTGAGTACCTCGCCTGTGCAATGTAGATACAGTTTTTAAAACATTTCCTGACCTCTATCATCAGAATTGAAAACCATAGTTGTCCAAGTTCACTATAGGGAATCCTGCACTGGAGTATCTGGTATCGGTGACCAACACTGAATAATATCTGTCGGTGCACTCCTCCGTCATGAAATAATTGTCTCCGATTCATTTACAGTAAAAATAAATTCAGGGACTAGGGGCGTATACATGTTGTCACAACGCATACGCACAATTATTATGAAGGAAGTGTTATGGGGAATAGGGGTGTATGCATGCTGTCGCCATGTATACGCTCTATATAACTTCTTATTATTTATTCCGACATTTTATTAAATACACCTGTGGCTTCGTCTGTGCAATATCAGACCTTAGATGGCTTCGATTCATTTACTTTGGATAACTGGCCAAATGTCAGCTGGCCCTTAAGTAGCCAATATTATTTGACCAATATTATTTGATCTCTGCAACAGATTCTCCTAATTCTCTGAAACATGGGAACCTAGAGTATGTACCTTTGATGCAAGCTACTAATTCAAGTGAGCTCCCTCAGATAGAGCTACATTAGATTTTCTTTATAATCAAAATACTTTATGTTCTCATTTAATTTTCCTCCTCCCCTTCTTCTTACAGCCGCCACCTTGGAACGTCATCCCATACCCGAATTCTTAACCTCAATACCGATACGCAAAACACGAGCTGGTCTACAATTCACCTGTGCCGCCGCCACTCTAAGTGAGAAACGTGACGTTTGGGTATGCAACAGTGACGGATATGTGGGTCAAGTCTGCATTATGTCATTACATCCCGAACCTAATGTGACCAGTTGTAATGGTGTTTGTAATGCTCGCATTTTGTGTGTTGCCTCTGTACCTGCTTATAGTCCTCATAGTTCTTCCATTAAATCCACATCTTCCTCGAATGATGAACCATCGGTGTCATCGTCGTCGACAACAACAAACTCAACACAACAGCAGCAGCATCATCATCATCAGCAACAACAACACCACCATCATCAGCATCACCACCAGCAGCAGCAACAACAACAGCAGCAGCGTTCTTCCTTACCTCCGCTCAGTTATACCCAACAGCTGCTGGATTATCGTAAGAGCATTTCACCCAACTATTCCAATCCCTCATCGTTGATTGGTACACCCGAAAAGAAACGTGACAAATCACAATCGAATAGTTTGGCCGGTGGTGGTAGCAGCAGTTCGGTGGCTGGTTCAACGACAAGTGGAGCAGGTGGCGCAGGAGCTAATAATAGTGATATTCAATTAGATTTAAATTTAAGTTCCAGTGATGAAGAAGCGGAGGCAGCAAATGCTGCGGCAGCTGCATCCTCCAGTGGTGTTGGGGTGAATTCGTCAAGCGGTGTTGGTAACAGCAATAGCAGCGGTATATGTGAACGGGTACCCAGTCCGGCACCATCGACACATACAACCGGTTCAACGTCGACAGCATCAACGGCTATTGTTGGTAGCAGCAGTACATTATATCATGGACATCAGGTAAGAGTTGTGCTGAGGCTTGGAGGTTATGAAAAAAACTGAATGTAATTAAAAATTAAAAAAAAAAAACGGAAATGAATTTTCCTTTCGATTAATAATAGTGAAACTAAAATGGGGACTAGGGACGCATACATATTGTCACAACGTATACGCACAATTATTAAAGAGATAGCCTTAGTAGAATAAGAGGCGTATACATGCTGCCGCCACGTATACGCACTATGGGACTTTTCTATAATTCCTTCCTAAAGTGTACTAAATATCTGCTTTTTTATAATTTTGCCTAGGATTCCAACCCAGACGAAAGTGATGGCAATCAATCGACCATGTGGATTGGCACCGAAGATGGTTGCATACATGTCTACAATAGTACTGATAATATACGCATCAAAAAGAATCGCATCAAGATTGAACATCATGCTGCGGTCTATTCAATATTGTAAGTCCTTATACCCCCAACTACCTCTTCAGATATTAATTGCATTATCTCTATTCCTTCGAAAAGGTACCTGGACAATCGTGTATTTGTGGCCTTGGCCAATGGCGATATATGCGTTTATTTACGTGATGGAGCCGTCTGGAATACAACTTCATCACATTGTTTATCTATTGGAACGGTGACCAGTCCGGTAACGAAGTTACTCAATGTCCATGGCAAATTATGGTGTTCAATACAGGGCATTATAAAAGTGTTGGATACGGAAACTTTGGCGGTATGTAGAATTACGATTGAAGATAATAGCCAAAGGTTTTTAATGTAATGTGTGTGTTTTTTTGATTTTTTCAGGTGGTCAATCAAATCCAAATCTCAACGGATTCAAAACCTATTACAAATATGTGTGTCTCCAGTAATTATGTGTGGATTTCAATACAAAATTCAGCGCATATTAAATGTTACCATTCCAATACGTAAGTGCATATATTTAAGATTCTTACGATTATATAGGAACCTGGAAATTGGACCTCGATTTTTTAAACCTTTTTTTTAAACTCCTTATGGGGGAGATGACGAAAACAGGAAGTCAATTCGGGTGGCCAGTAAATTGTTTACTTGTGAGGGACTAGGACCTCTCTTTAAAAGACTTAAAAAATCTTGTATATCTTAAAAACAAATTGAGGAAGCAGTTATTTGTAAATCCAACTTCAGGAAATACTTCTGATGATCGTTTTAGAAGATTTAAGACGAATCGTGAAAGAATTTACAAGGTGAGGTAGAGGATTTTATTGGGCAAATCTAAGACTCCTCTACAAATTCTGAGAATGTATGGGATGATCCTGAAGAATCAGTAACTATTCAAGTTGCTCAACAGGACAATAAATTTCCTTTGTGGCCATCTACATGCTCTTGGTGGAGTAGAAGAAATTATACACAGCCGTATATATCACTAAGACCAACTATTCAACGGTAGAGGGCTATGAGGGTCATCGAAATCTCTTATATCATTCGTTTTTCCCTTGAGTGCTCCTAGGGTGACTACTCAGCAGTACAAGTCATCTACACAGCTTTGAAGGCTATTAACTCAATGTAGAGGCCTCTGAGGTAATTATTCAGCTGCTCAGGCCCCCAACTATGTTATCGTGGTTTCTGAAACCATAATCGCAGGCATTTTAATAACTCGGATTTTAGGCTATAATAGCTTCTGAGGTAATATAGTCAGTCAGTAATAGTTTTTACGGTCAGTAGGGGTCTCTACATCCGGCCAATAGATATTTATCCACAAATATCACAGGTTAACTGTTATTAACTAGTACCTCAATTTAGAGGCCTCTGAGATAATTATTCAGCTGCTCAGGCTCCCAACTATGTTATCGTGGTTTCTGAAACCAAAATCGCAGGTATTGTAATAACTCGGATTTTAGGCTATAATAGCTTCTGAGGTAGTATAGACAGTCAGTAATAGTTTTTAGGGTCAGTAGGAGTCTCTACATCCGGTCAATAGGTATTTGTCCACAGAGATCACAGGTTTACTATTATTTACTAGATGGCTCTAAAATCGACTAATCTATAGTAGAGGTCGCTGAGGCTTCTTACTCAGCGTTCGCGGTTCCGGAAACCAAGAACCCAGGTATTGTAATAGCTTCCAAGATCAGATTCTAGGCTGTAATTGCTTCTGAGGTGAACCAGTCAGCTAATAATAGTTTCTACAGTCATTAGAGGTCTCTACATCCGGCCAATAGATATTTATCAACAAATATCACAGGCTAACTATTATTAACTAGATGGCTCTAAAATCAACTACTCTATAGTAGAGGTCGCTGAGGCTTCTTACTCAGCGTTCGTGGTTCCTGAAACCAAGAACTCAGGTATTGTAATAGCTTCCAAGATCAGATTCTAGGCTGCAATTGCTTCTGAGGTGAACCAGTCAACTAATAATACTTTCTACAGTCAGTAGGGGTCTCTACGTCCGGCCAATAGATATTTATCCACAAATATCACAGGCTAACTATTATTAACTAGATGACTCTAAAATCAACTAATCTATAGTAGAGGTCGCTGAGGCTTCTTACTCAGCGTTCGTGGTTCCTGAAACCAAGAACCCAGATATTGTAATAGCTTCCAAGATAAGATCCTAGGCTGTAATTGCTTCTGATGTGAACCAGTTAGCTAATAATAATTTATACAGTCAGTAGGGATCTCTAAAGCCACTTACTCGTACTTCGCCTACTTTTAGTCTGAATCTTTGCTTGACGTAGGTTGTTATCCACAGAGATCTCAGAGTCGCTATTTTTATTTAGATGTCTCTAAAATCTACTCTCTAAAGCCACTTACTCGTACTTCACCTACTTTTAATCTGAATCTTTGCTTGACGTAGGTTGTTATCCACAGGGATCTCAGATTCGTTATTTTTATTCAGATGTCTTCAAAATCTACTAATCTATAATAGAAGTCGCTAAAGCTTCCTGCTATATTGGTTTGAGAAGACTATTGTGGGTACTATGTTGTAGATGGCTCGGATGTCCGGAATTTTACGTCAACCTATCTCTACTAGATGTCTCCAAATAAATATACGTTTCAGTAGAGGGCCTAATATTTCACAAATATCAGGGAAAGCCCGTACGTAAGGATTTTGAGATAATGTCATACATTTTGTCAGTAATATTTTCTACGGTTTTCTAGGGGTATCTAATGTTACCTGCATGTGGCCAGCAATTTTCCCTTAGAGGTTTCTCGGTATAGGCAGTGATCTACAGAGTTCATAGGCTATCTACTCCTAACTAGGTGTCTCTAAAATCAACTAAGCTATAGTAGAGTCCGCTAAAGCTTCCAGCAATTTTGGATTGAGGGAATAATTGTGGATGGCTCTGATGTCCGTATTTTTATAGTTTGAAGAACTAACTTCAGGTATTCTCTACTAGATGTCTCCAAATTCACATACATTTAGTAGAGGATCTTTTAATATTAATTTGATTTAGATAGGCATAATTACGAAACCTAATATTCTACACGATGGTAAAGAACTCTGGGTTTCCCCGATTTATATACGCGAGCTCAGAGACCGGCTGTTTAAAACAGGTTATATCAGAAGCTACTCTTTAGCAAATGTCTAATAGCGGATGCCACTGATACTGGCCTATATACCATATATCTCAAAATAGAGACTCGGAGGTCCACTTGTATTCAACAGATGTCGCTGTGGTCTCTATAGTTTAAGACAGATACATTAGGGTAGATGGCTCAAAGGTTGTGAGTTATGAAGTCATAGTATTTTAAGGCATTTGATACCACCTACTGTTCTGTAGAGGGTTCTGAAATCAGCTACCATCTTGTTCTTAAGAGTTGCAGTAGTTGGTTTAGGTCTCTGATACCATATTCTTTATAATAGAGACTCGGAGATCCGTTATAATTCAACAGATGTCCATAGTAGAAGACTAATGGAATGGTAGATGGTTCGGCGCTTTTCAACTTAGCAGTGGTGGATTTCGAAGTCATGTATTGCTAAGTGGAAGCATCTGAAGTCATCTATTCCCCAGCAGATGTCTCTGAATCCGCCTACTCTATATCGGAGGCAACTGATACTATATACTTATCTTTAGTGAATCCTATGCAATTTATTTGTCGACACCGGCAGTGGTGGAATCCGAAGCTAAATTTTATAAATAAGTAAAATTATAAACTACTACTCAGCAGATGGATCTGTGAGCATAAGCACTATCAAAGGACTCTACAGACATTATTTTACTATTTGGTTGTTGTCTCTGATAACACCTAGATATAGAGATATTCGTTGTCATTATCTGAGGGCAGTGAAAGTTGGTTTCTTAGCTCTTGTTGGCTTCTCTTGAGATAAGATGGCTCGAATATCACCTACTCTCTAGCAGATGGCGCTGAGCACGATTCCTATATGTCTCTAGGATCTATTATTTCTAAGTGGAGCCCTGCGATGCTGGATAAATTGCGATAAATTCCTTTCCTTTTATAAATAAGTAAAATTATAAACTACTATTCAGCAGATGGCTCTGTGAGCATATTTACTATCAAAGGACGCCACAGACATTATTTTACTATTTGGTTGTTGTCTCTGATAACATCTAGATATAGAGATATTCGTTGTCATTATCTGAGGGCAGTGACAGGTGGTTTCTTAGCTCTTGTTGACTTCTCTTGAGATAAGAAGGCTCGAATATCGCCTACTCTCTAGCAGATGGCGCTGAGCACGACTCCTATATGTCTCTAGGATATATTATTTCTAAGTGGAGCCCTGCGAAGCTGAATAAATTGCGATAACTTCCTCTGAGTTTTACAACATTATCCTAAGCCCCATAAAGGCTAGTTCCTTATAGAGTCCCCCACGTCTTTTAGGAACTGCCTCTGAGGCAGTATGGCCGTACAGAATTGAATTTTATCCGGAAGGAAAGTCGTTTTGAATAATGACTCCAAGAAAGAAAATATTATAAATATCTGAAATCTCCGCAATATTTGAAATATTCTTAACAATTTTTTTTTCTTTATTTTCAGACATCAACAAATCACCGAAGTTAATTTGGCACAGGCTGTGAATAAAATGCTCTCGAATTGTGACGAAATTATACGCCAACATAAGGCCGCCTGTTTGCGTGTCACATCACTGTTATCGTGTCGCGATCTAATTTGGATTGGTACCAGTGCCGGTGTACTACTGACAATACCCTCCCAGGGTTACGAAAAGGGTGCACCAAATGTTGTACCCACGGGTATACCACATGGTCATACGGGACATGTACGTTTCCTCACCTATGTCGAGACAACTGGTGCCACCGGCAATACATCGAGTACGGACAACAATAAGGATCATGAAACGACAACATGTGCTGGCTCGAAATCACCCAAACCGAAAGGTGAAAATTCCGCCAATTCTGCAACAAGTACACCTGGTAATATTTTGATTATTTCCGGTGGTGATGGCTATGAGGATTTCCGTAATTCGGGCGCCAATTCGTTGAGTGAAATTGCTGGACGCGAAGACAGCACGAATCATTTACTTATATGGCAAATTTGAGCCCGAAGGCGTAAGAATCGCTGGCGCGTACTACTCAAACGTTGGAAAAATAATAATTAGCATCAGCTGAATATGATTTGGGGTAAAAAGTTTCGAACGTTTTAGCCGCAGTGTATGGGTATGATGGGTAGCGTAGCTGTTACGCCGTAAATGAAAAATTGAACAAAATTAAAAAAGGGGGAAGGAGAAAATAAGGAAATGGGAAGGGAAATGGTGGAATTATGTGTGAATGATTGATGGATATTGTGGGTTATTAAAGGCAGCACCAGCCATTATTGAAGGTTTCCATTATTTTCTTTCCTCTGTCATTATCTACAAATGAAGCGCAAACTGCATAACTGACTTATGTGCCAAACTACTAGAAACCTATTTGGGGTATTATTTCAGTTGAAAGAGTTTTCTTCTTTGTTTTTTGGTTAGGAAACTAAAAACCCCAGTTGGGTTTTAAAATTTGCCTTCAAACTTTTTGTATATTTGGAAGGTGGTTTTTGTTTGATTTTTTGTTGTTAATATATAAATAGGGAAGGGCAAGCCATGTTGGTCCCAATTTCTGACAGAAGGGAATATTTTATTTTAATGCAAAATATATTACTTTTTTTAAATTACAAAATGTTCGATGTTTAGATAAAATTTTAGAATTTATGTTATTCGAAATTTAAATGCGACACTTTATTCGATCCGCAATTAAATTTTTTCGGTATTTTGAAAAAATGTTTACAAAATTCAATGGAAATTTTATTTTTATTTCGATTCTCTTAGTTTTGTTTGGAATTTTTTGAAATTTTTTAATTAATTTATCAAAAACTTGGAGAAATTATTGAATATATTATTTCTTAGTGTTAGTGATGAAACGTATACGTATTGTCGTTATGTATACGCTACCACTATTTCGATACGAAAATTCACATTGACATCTTAGGAAAGCTTGAAATTAATAGAAAAGTATAATAGAAAGTGTTTAAAAATTTTTTTAAATAAAAATTAGTAACTTTTAGACAACATGTAGCAATTTTTGTGAAAGAAACTGTGAGGTTTCGGCCTTAAAACTGAGTAAATTACTCCGTATTATCACTGGCGTATACGTATTGTCATTGTGTATACGCTACCACTATTTGAAATTAATTTAGAAACTTTTATGCATAGCTAGGAATTTATTTCGAAACTTGATAACAGATTTTACGAACCGTGATGTATTTGTTGGAGGACCTCCACAGGAGAAATATGAAATCTGTTTGAATGAGTAGTGATGTGAGTAACAAGTAGACTTCCAAGACTACTTCGGGTCTACTACTAAGTCACAGATGTATAGTAGAGACAGTAGTGCCTCTAAGACTACCTAATTTGTCAATGATGAACCCTAATGTCAGCTATTTTATAATAAATACATAAAGTTTCATTGGTAAAATTCGATTCTGATTTCACTATCGCGCTTATCACAGAAAATCGCCCTTACACAGATTTTATAAGTCTCCTTATATTAGCCTCCTGGAGTAACCAGAGCCGAAAAATACTTTTGTGTCCTAGGGTTGCTTCTAATGAAAGCTGAGGTCAGTTACTCCGCATGTGAGATGAATTAGTCGTCCCTAAGACCAACTAGCTTCTGCTGTTCTGTAAAACCAGATACTTATCTGAGATTGTCTGTGAGAAAAATTATTCGTTTGTAAAAACACCTGTGGCCTTTTATTGAGCCGATTATAGTTTCCTGGTCGCCTTACCAGCCATCATGACATCTAAGGCGAACTATCCTGCCGTGGTTGTATTTTTCGAATGCTACCTCCGTAGTCAGGAACTTATTCGTATATTTCTCATGGCAAGTAACCAATTAATAGATGAGTCCAAGTACTGGCTCCTGAGACCAAATAATCTGCTGTAGAATCCTCTGAAGGTACTACTGCTGGCAATGGGTTAGAATTAACTAAAGGGAGTATCTTTAGGGTAGACTAAGGAAGGGGTATTTTCAGACAATTAAAAGCAGGGAGTCTCCAAAGATGGGTTGAAGCAATAAGTCTTCATAGACGAGCTGAAGCAGTGATTCGAGCAGAAGCAGTGAGTCTTTAAAGACAAATTTAGACAGGCAGTTTTCGTAAACCACTGAAGCAAGGAGTCTTCAAAGGCAATCTGAAGAAGGTTGCATTTAAAGACGAACAGAGGAAGGGCGTCTTGTTTGACCAGATGAAGCAGGAGGTCTTTATAGACGAGCTGAAGCAGAAAGTCTTCATATACGAGCAGAAGCAGTGAGCAAGGCAAGCTGAAGTCCTTAAAGAACTGGGTGGAATTTTTAACATGAAATGAGAATAAATAGTAGAAGAAGGTAATTTTCATAGGCGACCTGAACCCATGGAGTCTTTACTAAATGATATAAAAATTTTAATAAAAATCAGTCCATGAGTGGTCTTCAATGTGCTGAAGGTTTCTTAATTCGTGAATATTGCTATGTATTTTGCCTTCTTTGGGAGTAGGGCCCTCGAAAGGAGATTATTCTTTTGTATACCTTTACTGGTATTATTTTGTATGCCTTTGGACCTGTTTACGTCCTGCTGAGAGAATATATTTTTACCTTATGGCTAATGAGGGTATATACACTTCGATACGGCAAAAATGGTTTAAACCCCATGTTTCTTTGGATATCCACTCGTCCGTCCGTCTCTCTGTCTGTCTTTAGTTGTTTAAGTAGTTTTGCTCGTGAAGCATTTAGGAGAAGGACAGTACTTAGCGGAGGTGGTCCTCGTGCATAGCCCCCTTGCAGTTGGGTTGGTCGGTTGCACCGGGTGGTGGTGGGTAGGTGCACCGGGTGGCGGTGCAGGTCTTGGTGCGGTGATCGGCGGTTGTAGGTGGTGTACGTGCTGCCTGCGGTTGTCTGTGCATCGTGGGTGGTTCGTGGTTTCCACTTCATGTGCTTCACTCGTCCTGTGGATGTAGTGTAGGCTGTCCGTGTGGGCAGTTTTGTTCATTGTTTGTGTTGTGATGTCCGATGCCGCGGTTCTTTGGGCCCTTTGTGCAGTCCGTGAGGACTGCATGTTAATTGTTTGTGATTTGTGTATTTGTCACTGCTTGTGGCCAGGTATTTCCTTGCCTCTTGCGGTTATCGCCGTTTCTTATTGTTGTTTGGGATACCAGCACGGACGTGCGTCAAACTGGGAGAGGCTTCGGTCTCGAGCCTGAGCGGAGGTTTTCCGGACTAACGGACTATCCGATTTGTACCAAATTTTGCATAGTATATTATATTTATCAAACCTAGATCAAGTCCGAAGATGGCACCTATGGGTCCACTCCTACTAGTACCCACCCCACAAATAGTCAACATGTTCAATACTTATAAGTCCAAGCCAAACTTTGCACGACCTATAATCTTTACCAAACCTAGATTTAGTCCCAAGATAGGAATTGAATATCAAATTTGATCACCATAAAATCCGAACCTCTTTTATTAATATATAAAAAACGAATAATAAAACCTGTGTCTAATTCCGAAGACCTTCGCAAACCACAGACTTAGGGTACATATCTATCGGCAACACTGACTGACACATTTTTACTTGTTTTAAAGGAGGTTTTTCTGTTTCGTGGGGACTCAATGATGATACTACATGGACTCCCGTTTCTGTTTCTGTCTATAAAAAGTCAATTTTTTAAGGATTCCGAAAACCTTCGCAAACCACAGATTTAGAGTACATATCTATCGGCAACACCGACTGACAGGTTTTTACTGGTTTTAAAGGAGGCTTTTCTGTTTCGTGGGGACTCATTGACGATATTACATGGACTCCCGTTTACACAAGACCCTCTAATGGTGTCTATGTGTGAGAATTTAAATTTTGTATTCCCCCTTGAGGGTCTTCTGTCTATAAAAAGTCACATTGGTTTTTTTAAGGACCTTCAAGAGGTCTTCATGTTGATCCTTTAATGATTAAACCTTGAATAGACATTTTGACAGGTCATGGGTCTATTGAATAACCATTTTAAGACCATTTAATGTAATTAATTTTCAATTTTTGTTCGGTAATATTCAATTCTTGACTTGTTTCAATATTTCCTTCTCCCTCTCCCCCTAAACAAAAAACCTTTGGCTTGCTCTTTCCAACGAATGTACTTAAATATTTCTAATACTTTTTTGTAAAAATACAATGTTTTTCTTTAAAAGAAAAACAAATGCAATTTATAATTTTGTTTTTTGTTATTCTTTTTGTAATTTCATGATAAGAAATAATGTTCTTTATATAAAAAATAAAATAAAGTAATAATAATTACAATAATAATATTTTGTGTGTGAACAATAATAAATACAGAAAAATAGGGTAGGGAAGGTCATAATGGGCCTAAAACAAAAATTGTTGAAATTTTGTTTAGAACCCAACTATGAACCTACCGCCTTCCGAAAAAATTATATATAAACTCATTTTTATAACTATTTTTTCTCATATATAAAAAAATACATTTAATTTGTAACTACGACTACTTTTGACATCAAACATTGTTTAATTGTAAAAAAATCGAAAAAAAACACAAGAACTCATAAAAATAATGTTAAAATAATAATAAAAAAATAACAAATAAATAAATTTAAAATATTATAAATATTTATATAAAAAAAGATTCTTAATACACTTAATGTTATGATTTGTTAACACTAAAAAATATTTTTTCTTTGATTATTTTTAACATATGCTTATATATATATATATATATATATATACACTTTTTTCATATTTATAATTTTTCTTAAAAAAACGAAATCTTTGTTTCTTTGTCTTCATATTAAATAATTGTTATGGCTAAGATTAATATTTTAATTTTAATGTATAAAAAATAAAACAAAATATGACTTGATAAAACATTTAATTATAGTTTAATATATATAAATAAATACATACATATATTAATTATTATTATTGTACGCATATATTGTTTCTAAGTAAATGTCTTGTATATTTATACATATTTTAATTATTATTCTTAAATATTAAATAAAAACAAAACAATGATGATATATCAATAAATTTATATTGAGAATGAAAAAAAACTTAACTTACACAGAAAGTGATTAATGATAAAACTTGCAATCACATATAACAACATAAATATATCGATTTATATCAACTCATGGGCTGAATATACGGTGAATTTTAAAATATCTCCCATATCCTCCTTCTTATAACAATATAATGCGT